TTTACTTCCATAATTTTCTATGAAAAGTATAAAAATGCTTACCTCAATTGTTAAATATTGTGTCTAATAGCTAAAAGAGTTTGATATTTTAGTGGTAATTTAAAAAAAATATTAAAAGTAAATTGTATGTAATATATAAAAATTAATTTTGTAGGTTGGAAAAAGTAATTGTATGTTTCAACCCTGGTATAATATCCATAAGGACTAAGGATTCATGCACAGATGAAGAAACAAAAGTAATACAAACTAAAAATCATTTGGACAAGTATTGGGGAGATTATAAATGAAGTATTTCTATATTCCTTATACACTTTTATGAAATAGTAAGATATTCATTGGATCATTTCTGTCTTGTGACAATGTGGGAAGAGAGAAAGAAACAAACAATGGACTTTTGTGAAGAAGGTGATTTTGAGATGGGAGTTTAATTTGGGCTCAAATAATAAGGATACACATCCCCCACCCAAAAGCAGAGAACTCATTGATTGAATCTCCAAGGATACATATTGGTCTTTCATGCATGAGCTATCACTTGAGACCATTTTACTATCTGTGTTTAGGCTTCTGAAAGAGTCAAAGAATGTTCCTGGTGAATTTTGAGAACATTATGAAATGAAACATATAATAGGAGTTTCAAGTTGCAGGTATCGCAAAAAGAACATTGGATTTCTTTCCTCTTGTAGTTCTACTGAATTAAGAAATAGTATTAAGGGCTGGAGAGATGGCTCAGCCGTTAAAGGCTAGGCTCACAACCAAAAATATAAGAAATAGTATTAAGATTACAAGGTGTGACATCAAACTGTTCAGCATTCTCACAAACTAAAGGAAATAAAAAGCTCAGGACCCGTGATAGGCTTTCTAAAGCATAAACAGCAAGTAATAATGACAATGAGCAAACTGTTTTTTCCACTTCCAAATAGGGTAAGTTTTAAAATCTACTCATAGTAATACTTTCATTTTTATTTAACATATTTGATGAATAACTTCTTAGGTGAAAAATAGTATATATGCCATATAATTCTTGGTGTTTTGACCAAACAACAATAAAATCATTTCTGAAATGACCAAATGAGAAAGCTAATCCATCTATTGAATTTTTACATATTTATGCTTTGTGGCAATAGATTTGCATATATAATGTGACAATTAAATTTTAAGCACCGTTAGATGTAAATGTAGCACTGTTGCCTTGTTTATCATTGCTGAACATTTGAAATCAAGAACCTTTTTATGTTTCATAATTGAGCATTCTTCAACTTGGCCAAGCCTCACCTGTTTTACTCTCCTATGGGTTCCAACAACCAACATCCTTCTTTTCCTTCGTGGGAAGATGACTATTGTGAATTTCACAAGCAAGGTGATTATACAGGCTTTCCCTTGGAGTGTACTGCTTTTTTCTGTTTTCACAATGGCTTCAGCTTGCGACTAGTCCAAGGATACATGTTATACCATTTCTCTTTCTTTAGGAAAGGTTTATGATGCAAGTGAAACTCAAATAAACATGTCTGAGTAGGGTGAATTGACAATATTCAGAGATCTAGGAGACACGTAAGCTGCAGTGTCTTATTTAGTAATCTATATAGCCATTAAAGATTTTAAATTCTTCCAGACTATGAATGTTCCTGAGTATCTTAATTGTTCTTAGATTTGGTTCTTTTCATTTGTGTGGAAGCAATGTTCATGATTTCTACTCTGCAGATTGCAAATTGAGTTAAGTACCAGGTCAGTACCTTATTTCATATCCCAAAATGATAAAGAATAGAAGGACAGGAATATAAATGAGAAAGTCAGTCCTGATCCATTCCAGTCTACTTTTATCCTCTTGATTTTTCTAGTATTCATGATAGAATTATCGTACTTAACTAGTTTAGACTAGCTGTGGTTGTGTGTGCATGTGCATGTGTGTATGTGTAGGGAATCAGTGTACATCTCTGTAGACCAGGCTGACCTTATGTTCACAGAGGTTTACCTCACATTTTCTCTAATTGGTAAGATTAAAGGCAGGCATTATATTTATTTAGTAGGGGAAAATGTCACTTTATATCATGGTAATAGAAATTTGATTCTACTGTATTCAAGTAGATTCATGTATTCCCATTACTTTCCTCAGGATTATCAGAGATAGTTGTTAGTTGTGATTTTCCCTATAATTTTCACTTCCCCCACCCAGATTTTCTTGAAGAGCAATGTCTGTGGGAAATGGCTCTTTGGGGATGGAATTTATTCTCCTGGGCATAATAGAAGAGTCTTAATATCCAAGCACTAATTTTCTTCCTCTTTGTAGTAATTTATCTGTTAGCCATATTAGGAAATTTGACGTTGATCATTCTAATTGTTTTGAATTCTCACCTTCACACACCCATGTACTTTTTTCTCCTTACCTTATCCCTCATAGAACTCTGATATTCTTCAGTGGTTACACCCCAAATGCTAATAAACTCTTTACTGAAGAAAAATTCTATCTGCTAAATGAAGTACAAAACTAGCTTTGCTTTTTTTGTGATTTCTGAATGTTACATGCTGATAGAAATGGCCTATGACCATTATTTGGTTATCTGCAATCCACTATTGTATAACATTATAACCTAAGGTGTGCTTCTATCCTATGCTTGGGACATTTTTGTGCCATGAAACATACTAGTTCTATGCATCAACTGACCTTTTGTTTTAGAAACACCATCAACCACTTCTGTGTTATGCTCTCTTTGCTGCAGCTCTCCTGTACCAGCACTTAAGTCAATGAGACAGAGCTGTTCATTTTAGGAGGAAAAGACATCATTGTATCCACTGTCATTGTCTTCACCTTTTATGGCTTCATCCTCTCCAGCATCCTCAAAGTACAGTCCACTGCAGGCAAGTCCAAAGCCCTCAGCCCTTGCAGTTCTTACACAATTGCTGTTTCTATGCTCTTTGAGTCATATGTATTCATGTATCTTTAGTCATCCTCAGATGGGTCTATGGATGAGGATAAAATTTCTTCTACCTTTTATACTATCATGATTCCCAGGATTAATCCCTTAACCTATTCCTTGAGGAACAAAGATGCTAAAGTTGTCCTGAAAAGAAAAAACCTTGAATGGGTTAAAGTATTGATCAGAATTTGATTTAATCTTTGTCTGTAGTTAAACCTCGGAGAAATTGTCAGTGCCTTTATTGTCACATTTATTTCTACATTGGGAATCATATGTATGAGGCCTTTTTATGTCCATATTGCCCAACTAAGGACAAAGAAAAATTGAGAAGTACACAATATTGTTTTATAATGGTGTTTTGTGAACAGTTCTGGGACAACTCACATCACTAAACATTGGTAAATACCTACTCTAAAGAAATGTACAGTCATCTCTGCCTGATGTTATGGACGATGTGAATGTTTTACTTCATTTTTTTTGATGCTTCATTGATATGTGAAATGGAATAATATCCTTTAGGCAGAGAGAGATTTGTTTTTTAAAAAAATATACAGGATTCCACTTTCCTCCCATCAGCTTTCTGGGACAATCTCTATTTAGAATGAAATGCCTGGCCATAGTTATTGCAGTTTTTATTATTTCAGATGAAGGATTTATAATGATGTTGACTGTAAAAGTTTTATCTACTCAAATTGATTCAGAGAATAGAAAAAATGAGCTCTTCAAAAGTTATGTGAAAATAATCTTTGTCCACGATAACTTGATTGTGCAAACACAGTACATTTTGCCATATTTTGTTTATTTTTCTAAAAAAACCATATAGGAATCCCACATAAAATCAACCATCATGAAATTATTTACTTGTCTCTGGGTCTTCCTTCAGGTTAAACTTTTTTTGACATTTAACTTAAGCTTTTTGACCTGTTCAGAAAGATGTTTCGGTCTTCACAATATTTCCAGAAACTTCCAGAAAAGATAAAAGAAGTCATAGAAAGAGGCTTCCATTTCTGCCCTGCACTGTCTGAATCCTTCTCCCTATTAGTTTCTCAATACCACCATCTCTATTTATTAATTTAGCACTTCTCATTCTACTTGTACCAAAAAATAGCCTGTCTTCATTTCTCTATAAAATAATCTTCATTACTGAAAACCAGGCCGCTCATATTACTACACCATATTAAAGTGCAGTCATTGTGGGTGTGAAGAATAATGTGAGATTAATAAGGCAATATTTGTAATGCTCCATAGAAGAAAGTTAATATTCAGATGGTAATATAATTTTCAGAAACCCTCCGTGATTCTCTGCAGGAAAAGGCTCTTATTTACTCACTGTCTGTCTGTGAGTCTTACTTAATGCCTGCTATAAGCACTCTTTCTTTGCAGATATTCTTTTCTTGAATTATTAGTCCCTTAAAACATTCATATTGTTTCATTTTTAATTTTGTAGATAAGCTAAACTTCCCATAGCCAAAAAACTTACTATGCTTGAAACCTAGACCCATTATGGAATTATACAGTTTCATTAAGCAATTGATTGCAAATAAATCACATCAATGACACTGACAGTTGGAGGGGATATGTTGCTTCACAATGGAAGAAATACAAAAAAAGAGCAGAATCAGTAGTTTGATATACATTCAAAGAAACAGCTTCTAAATAAGTTAGCCCTACATAGAGTGGAAACTGGCATACTAGTGTTACTTTATTGACCATTTGAGGAACTATTTTAGATTATGAGAAGAAGAAAACAATCAGTTTGTAATGAATGGAGGGAAATGAGTAGATTGCTTAATACCATCATTTTAAATAGAAATAGAATAAAAAATAGTGTAAATGACAAGAATGAAGGCAAAGATTCAAAATATTAAACCAAATTTAGAAGGTTCATTTTTTTATGATATAAAAAGCTGAGGATTCATTATGATTCCAAAGGTTTCTGCCTATTCAAAAATTGAAGAAATAGAATATTTTCTTGAAAAGAAAAACAAGGTAAATTATACAGCTGAAGTATTGCCCAACAATAGAAACTAAATCTGTGCCCCAAATAAGAGGCAAAAAAAAAAAAAAAAAAAAAACTTGGTTAGCTAGTCAAATGTTCCTGCTGCTTAGGGTTTTCCTAAGGGCAACTTTTATATCTTTGTTCCTCCAGCTATAGATTAAAGGATTCATCATAGGAACCACATTGGTGTAAAAGACAGAATAGATTTTCCCTTCATTCATAGACTCTGTTGAGGAGGGTTTGAAATATACAAGCACAGCTGAACCGAAGAACAGAGTAACAGCAAGGATGTGAGAGCTGCAGGTGCTGAAGGCTTTGGATCTTCCCTCAGAGGAACTGATTTGGAAGATACTGGAGAGGATGAAACCATAAGAAGCAAAGATAGTTACAGAAGGAACAATGATGTTGATACTACCAACAACAAACAACATAAGCTCATTGACATATGTGCTTGTGCAGGAGAGCTGGAGCAAAGGAGGAATATCACAGAAGTAGTGGTTGATGATGTTGGCATTACAGAAGGTCAGTCTTAGCATGCATGAAGTGTGAACCACAGCAGTAGAAAATGCAATAAAGTAGGAACAAAACATAAGATTCAAACACAGTTTAGGAGACATGACAACATTGTACAACAGTGGATTGCAGATGGCCATGTAGCGATCATAGGCCATTGAAGTCAACACATAACACTCAGAAACAACAAAGAAGATAAAGAAATAGAGCTGGGTCATACATCTAATGTAAGAAATTACATTTTTCTTTAACAGGAAGTTCATTAGCATTTGGGGAGTAAACACAGAACAATAGCAAATGTCTATATAGGACAAGTTAAAGAGAAAAAAGTACATAGGTGTGTGGAGGTGAGAATTCAGCACAGTCAGAATTATTAAACATGAATTTCCCAATGCAGTGACCAGATACATTGCTAGGAACAGAAAGAACAAGGGCATTTGGAGTTCAGGCTTTTCTGTTATTCCTACGAGAATGAATTCAGTCACCAAAGAGACATTTACTGCATCCATTCTTCTGTCAGTCAATCTGTGGAAACAGACAATAGAGCTGCCTTAGAAGATGATCCCTACTTAGTCATGGATCCTTCCTATCTATGTGTTATATGTAGGTAATGTTTCTTCTAGCCCAGACTAATCATATAGAAACACCTGCTGCTCCGATTGGAAAATATTATCTTAAGTCAGAAATCCAGATATACCAAATTTTAGTATTGTATTTGAAAAAGGAGAAGAATACACTACGAAAGATTCAACCTTTTCCCATCTCCAGTTTTCCTTCACAGCTACATTAAAACTGAGAGCAGATTACTGGACAATTCAGTGTCGTTGCTGTGGTATGAATGAAAAACATCTGCCCAATTTAAAACTTAAAGAACAAGAATAGGTCATAGAGAAAGTGTTTACTATTTTCATGTCACAAAGTCATTAATCTGGAAGACTTGAATTCTGAGAATGTAGAACTACAGTGGAGATGCTGTAACTTATTGGTTATGTTGCTCCTTAACACTGTTTGATCCCACTGAATGCTTTCTTCTGCAGGTATCACTTGAATCTCTTTGGCACAGAAATGAAGACATTTTCTGAATCCCATCATTTATTAGGAGAAACTTAAATTAAAGGGTATGGATTCAGAAGGGAGAGGCGATGGGAAGGAGGGGAGAATCTCTGAGGAGTTGAGGGTGAGAAAACTGCAATCAGAATATATTTTATGAAAAAAATCTAATTTAAGCAAAACAAAAATTAAGGCAAATATTGAGAAGCGAGAGAGAGAGAAAGAGAGAGAGAGAAGTCTGTTTCTATACCTTAAATTCAGAAACTCACAAGTTTCATTTCAAGCCTTCGAACACTTACTTTTCCACTTATTTATGTTCATGTATATAAATAACCGAGATTTAAAGGTTCCTATCTGGAAGATAAGCACATAATTTAATTTTCCTGTACCAATTTCTGAATTGCAGAGCATTATTTCTGATTAAGTCTTTGTGTCTTTGCCGAAAGCAGGGAAAGGGCCTTTTAACTGCAGGCTGTGTGAGGTTATAAGCGGGCCAGAAAATTGTCCAGGCACTTCCTCAGGAAAGCATTTAAATCAAAGAAGGAGCTGAAGAAAATATAATACACCCTGGATCATTATCCTAATTTCCTGAGGGACCCACAATTATACTCATCTTTTCCATTCCCTTTAGAGAACTTGCACCCCCAGTTTAGATAGAAAGACAGATTTTACCTTCACAATCTTGAGATCTGAAGGGAAATCCAAGTTTGGGGTTTCTCTTCTTTTGCTTCCTGTAGTTAAGTAAGAAATTGCCCCCAGGTGCTGCTCCTGACTTAATAAATTCCATGTCTATAAGTTGTAGAGTACTGTAAAAGTTACTTACAGTGCTTTTCAACCATTATCATCAGAGATGCAACTTAAAAAGTGCATTCCCGAGCAAACATAATATGAGGAGACATGCGAAGATGGGGAAAGACTTAAGGGGGCTTCAGCCAAAGTTGAAGAACTGAAGATAGCCCAGAATACTGAGAGTGCTGCAAATAGTCTATTAGTGAAGAAACATGGATATATGATAACAAATGATTAACTGTGAACTCCTATAAAGGCCGCAGCATAAAGCTAGCCATGTAGATATGCAGCCCACTGTTTCTTCTACAGATGGCACCCAGACATGGATAACTGAATCCACAAAAAGCCTGAGAAAGCTTGGGAAAAATTAGAGTAAAGCATGTTTTCTTGATAGCAGCAATTTCTCGGGTCTGCTCTGCTTGCTAGAGGCAAGCAAACGCTCTCATCTAAGAGAGGCTTCCTGACTCAGCTTTAGCTGCAAAACCCTGCATCTCTTTTAAAGAGGTCCTGCTACGAAACACTTAAATGGTGTTGATGAGAAGCTTAACCCATGGTTTTCAGTTTTCAGTCATAGAAAAACAAAAATAAAAACAAAAAACAAAAACTGCGCTGTTTTAAAATGCTGGCTTTCTGAGCCGTTCTGCCAGGACAAACTCTGAGTCTTTCAGGCAGGTGATTTGTGTGGTTTGCAAGACTTTTTTGACTCCCCATGGCAAGCTTTACCCTCTCTGAGGAGTAAATGGAGGTGGTATGGGAGTGGAAGAAGGAAGGTGGAGAAAGCAGGAGGAAGGGAGGGAATAGGAAATAGATTTGGCATATAATCTGAGAAAAGATAGGTTTTTTTTTTACTAAATGAAATATATAGCTCAATAAAATAAATAATAAATAAATAAATAAACAAAATAGAATTATTCTCAAAAAAATGATTCAGACAAACCAGAGGAAGAAAGAAAATATAAACCTCTATGGTTGGTAACTAGTCACCATATAAATTTTTTAATGGACTCATATGCAAATAAAAAATACACTGAAAATAAATTCTGTGTTGGCAGCACCAGTTGGGGTCCCAACACTGAAGAAGAGACACAAGCCTGTATTCCCAAATTAAAATCTCTCTACAATTGATAAAATCTCACAAATTAGAAATTAGTTCTTTCCAATAGAGTTTCACTATAAATAAAAATATTCTTTGATTATGTGGGTTTTTTGTTTATTTCTTCATTTTTCTTTTTTATTTAATTGTTTGTTTATCCCTCTTATACTGTATCCAGACCAGTTTCTCCTCCCTTCTCTCCTCCCAGTACACTTCTTCATACGGCCTCTGCCCAGATAATTTCTCCTTCAGTTCGCTTTATAAAATGGCAGTCCAATCACAAACAATTGTGGCGTATCAAATTATATTAAAACTAGACACATTCTCTCATATTAAGGCTGAATGTGACAAACGAGTAAGAGGAAAAGCGTTCCAAAATAGGCAAAAGAGTCAGAGATAGGCTCCACTTCCACTGTTAGTAATCCCACAGGAACACCAAGCTAACACAATCATAATATGTGTGCTGAGTATATAGATCAGACCCATGCAGGCTTCCTGATAATCTTTCTCTCTGTGAGTCCATAGAAGCCCTGGATAGTTGATTCTGTGCACCCATTTCTTGTGGTGTCCTTGACCCCTCTGGCTCATATTATCCTTATTTACCCTCTTGTGGAAGATTCACTCAGGTCTACTAGTTTGCCTGTGGTAAGTGTATCTATTTCCATCAATTGCTGTATGAAGCCTTTCTAATGATAATCATTCTAGACACCAGTCTACAAATATAGCAGAAAATCATTAGGAATCACTTCATTGGGGTGGGTTTATTTGTTGTGGTTGGTATTCAGCTTTCTTTTTCTATAGCCTGTAGAGTACCCTCTCACACCAAAGAGACTAGAAAGTATAAAGTGAAGGCCTCAAACCAAGCCTGTACCAGCTCAAATTCTCTATGTTGAATGTGTTGTATGAAAGTTGTCCTTGTCAATGGAGTCCAACTGTCATTTTTAAGAAAAAGATGTTTTGTCCTACTATCAGACTGGGTTGTTTTGGGATCTCAACAAGATCTCATTGCCCAACAAATATTAAAAATTTTTGCATCTACTTTAAAAAGGAATTGATTCTGTCACTTTATTTGTTGTGGAAGATTTGTTTTTATTTTTTTCTCATGATAATTCTGGCATTGAAAAACACCAACAAAGAACTATCCAAATTTTTCTATAAAATGGAAAAGAAAAAATGTTGTGTGTTTATGGATGGAGGCTTTGCTTCTATTTATTTATTTATTTATTTATTTATTTAAGATTTCTGTCTCTTCCCCACCACCGCCTCCCATTTCCCTCCCCCTCTCCCAATTAAGTCCCCCCGCCTCAGTCCTAAGAGCAATCAGGGTTCCCTGCTCTGTGAAAAGTCAAAGGACCACCCACCTCCATCCAGTTCTAGTAAGTTGAGCATCCAAACTGCCTAGGCTCACACAAAGCCAGTAAGTGCAGTAGGATCAGAAACCCATTGCCATTGTTCTTGAGTTCTCAGTAGTCCTCATTGTCCGCTATGTTCAGAGAGTCCGGTTTTATCCCAGGCTTTTTCAACCCAGGCCAGCTGGCCTTGGTGAGTTCCCAATAGAACATCCCCATTGTCTCAGTGTGTGGGTGCACCCCTTACGGTCCTGAGTTCCTTGCTCGTGCTCCCTCTCCTTTTGCTCCTGATTTGGACCTTGAGATTTATGTCTGGTGCTCCAATGTGGGTCTCTGTCTCTGTCTCCTTTCATCGCCTGATGAAGGTTAATATCCAGGAGGATGACTATATGTTTTTCTTTGGGTTCTCCTTATTTAGCTTCTCTAGGATCACTAATTATAGGTTCAATGTCCTTTGTTTATGGCTAGAAACCAAATATGAGTGAGTACATCCCATGCTCCTCTTTTTGGGTCTGGCTTACCTCACTGAGGATAGTGTTTTCTATTTCCATCCATTTGCATGCAAAATTCAAGAAGCCCTTGTTTTTTACTGCTGAGTAGTACACTAATATGTATATATTCTATACTTTCTTCATCCATTCTTCCATTGAAGGGCATCTAGGTTGTGTCCAGGTTCTGGCTATTACAAACAATGCTGCTATGAACATTGTAGAGCATATACTTTTGTTGTATGATAAGGCCTCTCTTGGGTATATTCCCAAGAGTGGTATTGCTGGGTCCAGGGGTAAGTTGATCCCGAATTTCCTGAAAACCACCACACTGCTTTCCAAAGTGGTTGCACAAGTTTGCATTCCCTCCAGCAATGGATGAGTGTACCCCTTTCTCCACAACCTCTCCAGCAAAGGCTATCAATGGTGTTTTCGATTTTAGCCATTCTGACAGGTGTAAGATGGTATCTTAAAGTTGTCTTGATTTGCATTTCCCTGATTGCTAAGGAAGTTGAGCATGACCTTAAGTGTCTTTTGGCCATTTGAAGTTCTTCTGTTGAGAATTCTCTGTTCATCTCAGTGCCCCATTTTATAATTGGGTTGATTAGCCTTTTACGGTCTAGTTTCTTGAGATCTTTATATATTTTGGATATCAGACCTTTGTCAGTTGCGGGGTTGGTGAAGATCTTCTCCCAGTCAGTGGGTTGCCTTTTTGTCTTAGCGACAGTGTCCTTTGCTTTACAGAA